GATGTTGGATTACAACAGGCCCACTCCTTGATCAAGCACAAACTCTGGCAGCTTGAGTATGAGACACTTTCAGCCGATTTGAACCCTACCTGCTCTCCCCTTTTTTTCAGTCTTCCTCCTTCCCTAGGACGTCCTTCCAACTACTTCTCTTCACTGACTAATCCTGGTCAGAGAAGAGCTTTTATGCTAGCTCGCCTGAATATTTTCCCTTCGGCGGTCCATGTAGGCCGTTTCTCCAAGATTCCCCGTGTAAACAGGCTCTGTCTTTTCTGTCATACTCTACCAGACTCTCTGGACCATATTTTATTTCACTGCCCGGCTCATTCTTCTCTGAGAAAGCTTTTCCTAGAACCGTGGCTTTCTTTTTTTCCCAACTCCTTAGCCTTTTTCCTGAGTGACTCTTGTCCTTTGATTACATCTGCCGTTGCAGGATATCTATTGGAAATTTCTATTTTAACCCATAACCTATGATATTACTTGCTGTTTTGAGTGTATTTCTCGCTTTACTTTTCTCCTGATTATTGTTTGGTTTGTATCTACGTTTTGCTCCTGTCTGTTCATATGCCAATAAAGGTATCGAAATCGAAATCGGAATTTCAAATTTTCCCCCATGATTATTTTGGAAAGATATGAACAGAGTTTGTCCGAATAAAATCCTGGCTTGGTATAACTCAGTGAGATAGGTTATACAGCTGGAGGGCTAGGAGTGTGAATTTCTACTGCTTCTTTGGAGAGGGGTAACCAAGATCACTGATGTGTTTGGCTAACAGGGTTCTGTGCCCTGCCACTTGCGCAGCCTTGGGCAAGGTATAAAGCTTAAGAGTACTGCCAGATGGAGAGACTGGTAAACCACTCTTGAGTACTTTATACCTAGAAAACCTGGGTTGGCAATTGCCTTAAGTTGCAGTCCGCTTGATAGCACATAATTATTTATTAGATTCTACACGGTATCTGAGTTTGGTTCCACCATCTAGAATATGCATGCTTTTTCTGCTTGGATATTGAGATAGAAGGAATATCTTATGGTTAATGAAAAACTTCCACATTTTATTAGGAGGCCTCATTCATCAGCTTTTCTAAGTTAAGAACTAGTCAAAAGCTAAGCCACGGTAATAAAGAACAGGGAGACGTTCCACAGAATGAACTTCTTTGGAAAGAGCACTGCTGCTCAACTTAAAACCACTGACTTTAAGAAGAAGAAGAAAATGGGAATGAGTAGAATGACAGAATTGTTCTTCAGTAGTTTTTTTTTCCTTCAGCTTCTTTTTCTGGTCAAAACTTCATCTTTTAAGAAGCAAAACAAACAAACAAACAAGTCCTTCCCTTGAAAGGAAGTACAGTAACTGATCTAAAGCCTGCCTTCTGCTATTCCCAGATAATGCAATTTCCCAGTTGTTCACATGTGCAGCCCTGCTCCAAGTTACACATAAACATAACCCCACTATCAAATAAATTCATTTGGAAGAATAGAGGACTATTTACTATTGCCATTAGGAGTCACCATAATAGACCGGAACAGCCATGCACCTGCTCATTAATACAAAAGATGAAATAAAATAACTTTTCAATAATGGTTTTTAATAAAGGAAGGAGCTGCAGCAGAAGATACTGATTTTTGCCTGAAAAGCCTTAGAGAAATATCAAAGGGACGATTATCTCATTTAAATCTGAAAGGATTATGCAAGATTAAAACAGTCTTTGAAATGCATTTTTAAAAATAATATATAATAATATAAAATAATATATTAAAGTGAGAGCATATGGAGAATTTGGGCCCTGTTGAAAGCCACTGAGATCAAAACTAGAAGTGAAAAATCTATTTAAAGCACTGAAAGCTAAAGCAGTTATTAATCAGAGCTGTCCAGACAATTCTAGAGTCCTTGGACGACATATGCCAGGAGCCTTGACCAGTTGTTAATGATGGTTAGGGCTTCTAGAAGTTGTAGTCTAAGAATATCTGGGGCTACAAGTGTGGAAATCATTGGTCTATGCTAAAAACATTAAACAAAAAGTGCATGCATTTGTATGGCCTCTACTGAAATATACTGTACAGTACATGGCTAGAGTACATGACTTGATTATTAATTAAGCAGTTACTAAGGAAAAAGACAAAACTGAAGCTGCTCTGCTTCCTGAAAGCCAGATAGATATTCTTCTTCTGTTTCTTGGTGGTCTCTCTTACCTGGAGATTTTGCAGTATGCGTGCAGGGGTAATACTCTTGGGAATGACAACCACTTTGCGCTGCACTTGCCATCTGTTACAGAGTTAAAGAAAAAGCGATGACTTCTCTATACAGATGAGCAAAATCTAGAATGGCCTTTCAGACAAGGAATGGTATAAGCCATGGCCACTACTGCCTTTATGATTTTGTAGCCCTCTTACTGCTTCCAAACCATCTGCAGAGCTTAGAGCTAAATGCAACATACAAGCTAGAACTCCAAGCTAACTTATTCCCAAGAATTCTCAAGGTAGATCCTTGAAATTAATGGTCCTTTGGACCTTGTCAGCATCTGTGTGATAAAATGAAGACTGGTGTCCGATCACCCTCTCTCATTCTATAGTATTTGTTCATTTATATCCTCCCTTTCTCCCTTGCAGAAACTAATAGCAATGGAATAAAATAAAATAAAGACATTACTTAAAAAACACAATTGATTACAGTATAATACTATCTAATGACTTACCAAATTAAAACAGCATAAAAATAATACAATCTAAAAGCCCTTTCAAAAAACAAAAAAAGAGGGATCTAATATTCACCCACCATAGAAATGTCCTTCCTCCTCAGCCAAAGGCCTGTCTAGATAAAAATGCCTTTGCCTGTTGTAAGAATGACAACAGGGAGGGATCCAGACTAGCCTCCCTTGTGACAGAGTTCCATGGTCTGGAATCAAACATGGAGGACACCTTCTCTCAAGTTCTCATCAACTATGCCTGTGGAAATGGTGGGACAGAAACAGAGCCCTCTTCTGAGAATTTTAAGGTTGAGACAGGCTCATATGGGGAGATAAAGAGCTTCAAATAACCTCCTAGACCAAAGCCATACAGGACGTTATAGATCATAGCCATCACTTTGGTTACCCCTAATGGAGGAAATCCTGTTGTGCAGTTGTGCAAATACTCTAACTTTTAGTCATGCATTGCCATAAGTTTAAAAAAATCTCTGTATACGTTACCTGCTGTACAACAAGTCCTGTGACTCAAGCATGCAATAGGTAATGCTGATTGAGATTTCTTAACTTATGTCAATTTGCATCTAAAAATTACACCATTTGTGTAAATATGCAACAGAATTTCACACAACATTAAAATCTCCTTTCTCACTTGGTATGCTGTTGGTGACTCCAACATTTTTGCTATTACAGGAAGGAAACTGATTCCATATTGTAAGAAACTCAGCTCACTTTAAACCCGCAGCTACCATTGCCTTTCAAGGATCCAAATCATGTTCTATAAGAAATGGAAGTAGTGCTAACAATGTGCTTTTTAAATTAAGAAACAAAATGAAGTAACACAACATTTGGCTAGAACAAAAATACAGTACTAATACTGAGCTTACAGAAAAAGCTGCTAGATTAGCTCAAAAAAGACTTTCACCATCCACCTCTATCAAAATCTAAATCATAATTACCTGAGGATAATCTGAGCAGGAGATTTTCCATACTTGTCTGCCAGCTTTTTTATCCCAGATTCCTCCAGCAGGACTGGCTCATCCGGGTGTTTCCACATCCGGTCTGGTGACCCAAGAGGGCTGTAAGCAGTTACTACCAGCCCTCGCTGATGGCAATGAGCTATCAGTTCATTCTGCGCCAAGTAAGGGTGACATTCCACCTGCTCAAAGCAACATTTGGTAATAAGTAATCTGCTAGAGACTATACATCAGAGAATTAAAACAGTGGATTTCAGATAAAGGTCAACTACTCTGTGACCATTAGGAAAAAAAATGCAGGGTACCAAGAAAATCACACTTCCACATGAAATGCTTTTTTTGTAGCAAAGGAGGAACTAATCTTTTTAGTTACATTCTGCCTGATAATAACCCACCTGGCATTTCTCTCTGTAGATGGAGAGGAGAAAGGCATTTGAAACACAGGCAGAAGCAGCAACAGTATGGCTACAAACCACATTTCTACCTTGGAGGAAAAATATCAGAATTAAACAAAACTGAAAGTAGATGTGTAGGGTATGCTAAGAGATCAAGGGGAAGAGGAGCCCTGGTTTTCTATCTTCACCTTCTCTGAATTACATGGATTCCTGCCTACGCAAACTGCAATTGGCATATAGTACAATTGTTTCATAGGCTTTTATAAGTAATTTCTCCAGTACAAATGCCATATGGATAGTAACAGAGCTAGCACAAAGCAGAGTAACAAGAGACATTGCTTCCTTCCAAACCAGAGTATACAGCCATATTATTTTGCCACTAGAGAAGAAAAACTTCAGAAATGCCTCTCCTCCTTCCTTCATTCCAATAAAAAACACAACTCTACCCTGTTTCCCTGAAAATAAGACCTAACCTGAAAATAAGCCCTAGCATGATTTTTCAGGATCCTTGTAATATAAGCCCTACCCCCAAATAAGCCCTAGTTAAGTGAAACCTTGCCCTCCACCACTGTGCAGCAACCAGAAGAAGATGGCATAACTGTATTTGAATAAATGTAGATCGTTGTACATAAAAAAAAATAAAACATCCCCTGAAAATAAGCCCTAGAGCATTTTTGGAGCAAAAATTAATATAAGACCCTGTCTTGTTTTCAGGAAAACACTCCAATGACTAAAATAACTAACAATGTGCTGCCCTTTCATGTCACATGGAAAAACTTGCTGCCCAAAGTAACAGACTCACTCTGCCTAATGGTAGGTGTGTCTCTGGCTTGTAATCTATCCGCATCTAGTATTTCTGTACACCAAACCATAAAATCTGAAGGAAGTTGAAATATTTTTCTTGCCAAAAATAAATAAATAAGCTATTTATGCTTCTGCTCACCACTCAGACACCTTGTATAAAGGATTCTTATTACCCCATAAAATGCACTTTATTGGCAGACTCTCATTTGCAAATAACCTGTCCTACAGCATTCCTGACAGCAAGTCATGCTGATTCTCTAAAAAGATTTACTAGCAGAGGCCCTGGTTTTATAAGAATTTGTGTTATTGACAATCCTGCAAACCACTCAAAATTTTCAGTAAATCAAGGGCTGTTTTCCACTTTGATCACTGGACAGAATAGTTGTCCTCCAAGTATTTGGGCAAATGAATCTTAATACGTCCACAGGATAAAACAAAGTCCATTTCATGAGGATTCTCAAATAAAGTTGAAATAATTCAAGGCTTCTAGGAGCCTAAAATAGCTATTCTTGGATAGGATGTCTGCTACAGTCTAAGGATTGTGTACAGTACAGTACTTGGATCTTGCCTCCTTTCAATCCGCCTCTGCTGCAATTGTGGCTTCTCTTGGCAGAAGTGTGATTTGAATACTTATTCATTCCTAAAGATGCCTAATTTCACAGGAGACTACCTGTTGTTTCTCTGTAAGAATCTCTGCTCTACAATGCCCTTTTCCAATTAAAAACACCTACAAAACCAGCAGGCTGGATGCTGAATCCAATGGAGAAACATTTATCTCACAGGACAAATGGCTCCTGTGTCTCTAATCTGCCTTTTCCATTGAGGTATGGTCCCCTCTCCAGAAACCTTTCTAAGGGGCAGGAGGCCATCCAGAATTACACAAAAAAGCATAATAGCAGGCTGCAAGAAAGATCCATTAGGAGGTCCTCCTCTGACTTCCCATCTTTGTTGGATCCAAGAGGATTCTGCAAGCCAAAGAAGCCCTACCATGAACTTAAGGGTTACTCAGAATCCATGCTAATTACTCATCCAGAAATGCAGGGGGTGAGCTCTTCTGGAAAAAGGGTCACGTTTAATTCTACACACAGTACAAATAAATATGTTTAGGTATAAAAGTGCCATGCCGCTGTGACTAGAATACAAAACTTATGTGTTTCAGCATCAGAAATCATCAGGAAATTATCAAAGGTTGTTTTAATAAAATTAACCATGCACACAAAATTATAATTTAAGAATATCTTATCATACAGTACTTCACATTTAAGATGTCAATAATACTTCATTTATGTACTTATATCCTATCCTTTTCTTCAAAAAGCCCAGGATAGCCTTTTTAGCAATTTGGAGTGAAGACATTCTAAACCGAAACAAAAATTAAACCTCCAAGGATCAGAGCCAAGAAGGAGAATCAAAACAGAGTGAGCAATATGTAAGAAAATCAAAAAGAAACATGCTGAATGGACCACTAGGAGGTCCAAAGCCGAAATCTACTCTATAAGAGAACTGAAGAACTATGTCAAGCTAGAAATCAATTCCAGAAATGAAGCAGATGAAGAGTGGTATAGATGAAGCCAGGAACAAATCGAAAGGAATGATGTGGAGCCAGTGGAGATGCTGGGAGAAAGGAATATTTCATCTAAATAGCTCCACTTTGAAGTAAAATGGAATACAGTTTGTCATGAATTTGATTATGAAAATTGTAAAAGTAGAATAGAGATGGATTTTGTTTCATAACAGCAACGAAGCAACTAGAAGCTGACTGATGTCCAGGTGTTAATTAGGAAGGAAAAAATGTACAAGGTCAGTTCTTTTTCCAGCAGAAAAAAAAATCAAGAAGAACAAGATGACCCTTATCTTATCAAAACTCCAACAGACAAGGACACAACGGCTTAATTTAAGAAAGATGGGCGAAGAGAGAAAAAGAAGGACGAAGAAGAGAGATGGGGAGAGAGTTTGCTTGCACGACAGCCAGAGACGACACACGGAGAGAGATGCATCTGGCAGGACTTTAATTTGGAGACTGCGTAAGAATGTTAATTTAAGATATAGCTAGACTGTCTATTGTTTTCGTTTTATAGAGGAAATATCTGGTGGTGAAGGCTGCGGTATTGGAAATAATTAATGACTTATGCTTTAGTATGTTTGTTTGAAGGCTATCTTGTTTTAATAAAAGATAAAAAGACAATTTGTCTGTAAGTTGGCTCCTTGTTTAGACCACAGCTACTATGGTAAAATTGGCTACTTTAAAAATATATTATATGATCTGGCCGCGTTTACGCTACCAAATTAGGGTCCTAAAGTAATAAAA